AAGGCCTGGTGATCGATATCAAAACATCAGACAGTGAATTTGGATCACAGTGGTCTAATCTACAAATGTTTGATTCCTCAATCCATCAGAGGCTTAGTATTAAGGCAATGTTTTTGTTCTGCCTGGGACCACCAGGACTCAAAGCCAACTGGGTAGCTAACACCAAAGTTCACTCAGTTCCAAGTCAGTCCTTGTCCATAACCTATGCCTAAATTATCTCAACAAATAAAAATAGAGCCACTACCACCACGCTAACTAAAACTTTAAATGGAATTATAGGCCCACCGTATTTTGGCAGTCGGGAAGGAGGGCAAAGTAAAATAAATGGAGATCACAGACTCTGTAGTTAAGAGATGTGAATTTGGATTTCAACTTTGTCATTTTCTCTTTGTCTATCCTGGGCAAGTTACTAAAACTATTTGGATCTTAGTCTCTCATTTGCAAAATGGAAATGTCATCACTTACCTCATGCGGTTGTTCTGGGAAACTGAGACTGTTCAATTAGCTTGATGCGTGGCACCCAGAAAGTGCTCAGTAAATGGTGGCCATTGTAACTATTATTTTACCATACAAAAGGGCAGCTCATTGTTTGCTTAGAAATCAAATGCTAATAACTTAGAAGAAACTTGGAGGATCAACCCAATGAGATCTTGCCCAGTCAGAACCAAAGAGGCCTTGGCTTAAAGCCACGTCTGTCACAGTGACTGCCCAATCTCCAAGGTTAAAATTACACTGTCCTTCTGGCCAACTGGCCCCCAACTTTACACATAGCCTGATGAACAAAAGCAAGCAGATCAGGTTCTTCAGGCTGGTTCCCTTTCCCACCAGCTGCCTGCTTTTAAGAAAACAAAACAAAACAAAACAAAACACCCTAAAAACACTGGAGTATACCTCCGAAAATCAGGTTGCATTTATCTGTTTCCATTAGGTTTTTCTCCATAGACAATCCCTTTTTAACATCTGCTTGATCCTCTAAAACGTAAAAGCCATAGGGCCCTCCTTTTGATAAAAAAGAGAAAGAACATAGCAAGAGGTGGAAAAAGGGGAATGTTATGAAAATCAAAGGTGAAACAAGGTAGAGTTAGAGAAAATAAGCACAGCAGACCAAATCTAGAAAACTGAGGACATGGCAAAGAGTGGGACACTAGGTGGGGAGGGCCTTTTCTCAATCACATGTTAAATGGTTTCTTGGCAGAAACTAGTTCTACCTTGAGGATTGGTGTTGTTAAGTGCTGTTGAGTGGGCCCAACTCATAGCAATTCTGTATAGCGTTTCTGAGGAGCGGCTGGTGAGCTTGAACCATTGAACTTGCGTTTTAAAGTGACTTTTCAGTCCAGCTCATTAACCTGCAGCGCCACACCAGGACTCCACCTGAGGATGTTGTTGTTGTTAAGTGCCACTGAATGGGGTTTCTGAGGAGCGGCTGGTGAGCTTGAATTACTAACCTTGTGGTTCAAACCAACTTTGCAGTCTAGCGCATTAACCCACAGCAGTAATAAATCCTGATGTGGCACTGCAGAATCAGCACTGGACTGCTAAACACAAGGTCGATGGATCAATCCCACCAGCTGCTTCTCTGAAGCCCTACACAGGGTTGCTATGAGTCGGAATCCACTTGACCACATTAAACCACCACCACCAACTTGAGATTATAGCATTCAGTTAACATACCTGACAAATTAAGTTTTCCCTGGCCATTACGTAACTCAGTGTTTAAAATGAAATGTGGAAGAGTTTTCAGTCTTCCCTGCCAGAGAGCTTGTGTCCTCATTCCTGATGAGCACTCCCCATCTGATCCCATACTGGTGGCTTGGTGGTAGGTGCTAATAACCTTACTAGAATAATAACAGCAAGGCCTGTAATAATAGGCCACCACCCACTTACTGAGAGCAGATGTCTCATGCATCCCATTTAATCCTCATCATAAACCTGTAAGAAGCATTACTCTCTCATTTTAGAATGAAGGATGTGAGGCTCAGACAAGCAGTTTGTCCAAAGCTGTGTGGGGATTCAAACATACATCCCTGCTGACTCTCAACAATTTTAACGCTAACTTGCCTGCTGTTCCTGAATTTTTGTTTTAATTTCATTGTATGTTCTTCTGATGGGTGCATTTCAAAACAGTTTCTTTAAAATGGCTTAGTATGGGGTCCTGTGTTGGTAATTATTAAAAGCTGGATGATAGGTACACAGGGTCCATGATATAATTCTACTTTGGTACGTTTTAAATTTTCCATAAGAAAACGTTTTCTTAATTGGCTCTTTGGAAAGTCGAGTGAGGTAAGTCAATCCTAATTGCTGCCTTTCTCTGCAGGGATGTCACCAAACTGCAAATCCTTAGCCACCTGCTTTTAATAAGCAGCTACAGCGCAGAGTCCCTCACTAGAAGTGTTTGCGCTGCCTCACCACACACCACCCAGTGTGCCCAGAGCAGGGGAGTTAAGTCAGTTTTTACAAGGTCAGGGCAGGCTGTTGAGAACAACTTACTGACAGATTTTTTTCCCAGCCTCCACCCTAACCATTAAGCATGCCTTCTTGGGTGTGGTAGATCTCACAGGAGATGGCACAGACTGCTGAATGAGGTTCTGTCCACGATTCCATCTGTGCTGCTTCACTTCGTGGACACCTAATTAGTAAGTTTGGAGATTGGATTGCTCAGATAATTCCTCTAAACTTTCGAGGAAGAAAGAACATTCAGGCAAGCATTTTTCTTACCTGCCCCCTTTTCATCATCATTGATTTTCATTGGTTTATCCCTTCTAAATGCAGCAATGCATTTGCTGAAAAGAGAAGGAATTTGAGGTGAACAGCAAAAAAAGTGGGTGAATATATCATGCACATCTCCTTTCCTGCTCTCATCTGCGGCTCCCACAAGACAAACTGCTGATTCATACTTTGTACTCCTCCCTTGCTTAAAGAGGGGCCAGACTTGAGGGAGTGGGAATTATGGATTCCTGGCAGTGCTGGATAACATTTGCCCCTAGAAATATATCAGGAACTTTTGGCACTAGGCTCACAAGCAAAAGGTATCCTTACACATTGTTTCCTTATAAAAGAGGCATTGCTGGAAAGCCTTGGGGTGGTCTCAAGTTGGGCTTGTTTGGCACCGTTTCCACTGGGAAGCCTAAACCTGGTATCAGCATGCTGCTGTTAAAGAGCACTATAGTGACACAGAGCATAGATTGTGATGAAAGTAATGTTTCCTACACAAGAAGAGAACAAATACCAAACCAAAAATTAAAAATAATAAAAACAACCAGGTGAGTGTGAACTAAAGGAGATAGCCCAAAGGAAACAATTAGGTCATAAAATTTCCTAGAAAATTCAAGCACACACTCAAGAGTTTGTTAATCTTTATTCCACTAAACCTACAATAAACTGAGTAGTAAAGGGTTTGTTGTTGTTGTGGCTGTTGTGCTGTGGAGTTGGTTCTGACTTATGTGGTGACCTTGTACAGGTTTCCGAAGAGCAGTTACTGAGTTTGATGACTAACTATGCAGCTAGCAGTACAGTGCTTATCCAACAGCACCACACGAGGACAGGCTTTATACAAGGGATTGTTGGTGGTTATGTGCCGTGGAGTTGGTTCCGACTCATAGTGACCCTGTACGGGGTTTCCGAGGGTTAAATCTCTACAGGAGCAGAAAGCCTCATCTTTCTCCTGCAGAACAGCTGGAACTTTCGAACTGCTGACTATAAGATTAGCAGCCCAATTCGTAACCACTATGCTACCAGAGTTACTTATATAAAAGATAGGTAGGCTTTATATAAAAATGGACAGAAAAACACTATGCAAGTTCTATTTGCTCTTTGATGCCAAGATATCTTTCCTTAAATAAAACTGATTTGTCTATCTCTAATCAAACCCTGGAGTTAATGATATCATCTTTACAGTCTTAAATCAAAACACACCCAAATCTTAAGAAGGAGAAAAGAAAATGGGTACCCTCTGTGGGTTTAGATTAAGGAGACTTTCTAGAAAGCAAGGTATTGAAACTGACTAGGTGAAATCTGCTTATGTGCCATGAACCTCCCACTTCATAGTTTTAAAAATATAAACATATATACACACAGACTGCCTGAATGCAAAGGAAACCCCATAAGCAAGTGTACAGAACTACAAGTTATTATATTTGGCTAATTTCTTTCAAAGGAGTCCAATTGGCCAGACAGCCACAACTCAAAACTTTATGAGTCAGAGTTGAAGATAACTCTGGTGCCTGCCCTGTGGGTGAGAATGCAGAGTGAATGCAAGTTTCATGTGAGGCTGACTCAACACTAACCAGTAGTTAATGGAAGGGAGCACGTTGTCCAAGCAGTCGGCTACCTGCTATCATTTATTTGTGCATACATGACCCAGGTGACATGACGTTGATTCAGACTCATGGGTGGTTATCCCATATTTCACAATTTAACTGCTCCACAGAATTTGTAATGGTTGTGACCTTTCAGAAGTGGATCACCAGTCCTTTCTTCTGCGGTACCTCAGGGTAGGTTTAAACCACCACACTTTTGGTTAGCAGCTGAGCAATCATCTGCTCCCAGCAACATAAATGTTGTTGTTATGTGCTACCGCTGAATCAGTTCCAACTCACAGTGACCCTGTGTAGGGTTTCTGAGGAGCGGCTGTTGAGTTTGAACCACCGACCTTGTGATTCAAGCGACCTTGTGGTCTAGTGCCTACATATATAGTAATGATAAATTTTGAAAAGCTACATGGCCAACGTCCAAGTTGAGTTTATTTCATGGAGGGAAAAAAAAAAGACAGGATTTCCCTGAACACCACATAGTGACTAGCCTTTTTCATTTATCTTTTATCACATCACACACACACACACAAAGAAATCAACAGAATCACACCAAAACATAGTCCCATACCCCTTAAGTTAGCAGATTTAAAATGAAATCTTGAAGCAATATCTTCTTATACCTTGATTCAAACTCTATTTACAAATTAAAATTACACTTAGAAAGATACCAACATTCCTATTACAATCATTGGCTATTTTGCTTTATTATGGTTTGGGATCTGGATCTAAAACTCTCAAAGCTTTCTTCAGTAAGAATCATAACTTCCTTTTCAGTACATAATTTATTTACCCACTGAGTTTCTGAGCCTGTTTTCCTTTTTTGTGCTTCTCTTCTCTGTTCTGTTTTACAAATGGCACATAACCTTTGGAGCGGGTGCAGTCGGAGACAGCACTCATTATAAGTGACTTAACTCAGGAAAAGCTAACATGTAAGAAATGACAAATAAGTATTTCAATCCTTTGGTTCAACTTCAAGGAAAAAAAAATCAGTTGAAATAATTTACAAATCAGTGGTAATTCTTTTTGGTTAGAAACAAATCCACCAGGTAGATTTCTAATTACAATCAAACACTGCTTTGAAAGTACCACATTCCAATCCTCATCTTCCTGCTCACAGAGGCCACTGTTTACAATGGGTCTGACATGACACAGGTTACATTAAGGCACAGTGGATGGTACAAATAAAAACAAATACTTTAGGACTGTTTTTCTTTTTTTTTCCTGCGCAGATACTAAAATATGTACCGTTTCCATGATAAAATAACAACAACCAAAAAAAGAAAATACATATATTTTTGTTATGAAATTCCTATACAAAATTGTTAAAATTTACACCATCTGAGCTGCCAAAAAAGGGTTTATAAAAGTATCAGTTTTCGCTCCCACACATAAAACTATCTCTTATCAGTAGGTCCAAGAGAACTTGGGTCCAAAATGTTCCAGTACATATGGAAGAGAAGAGAGCAAAAATTCCCATTCCTGCTCTCCCTTATCCCAACATAAGACAAAAACAAAGGTCAGATGTCAACAGTAGTGTATTCTACTTATTACAAACAACTGAAAAAAAAAAAAAAAAAAATCAGGCCAGGAGATGACTGGTGCAAAGCCCGGTGGATAGGTTAGAGTAAGGCACTTCCTTTGAGAGAGCAGCATCCCAACGCTGCCACTTGAGAGAGGATGCGCCAGGTTCTGGTTAAGACGAAGGACTGCAGGAGGCTCCCCAGAGCAGCGGGAATGGGAACGTCTCCACAGCAAGGGAAGACACAAGAGGTAAAACGCCCAGGTGAAACGCTACACAGAAGTGGTCACTCGGTCCATGGCATGGTTGACCTCGTTTTTGTTGGAATCCAGTCCTTTAGCAGCATTCATGTCGTTCCGTAAATTCTCCACTGTCTTTTTCATGCTCTTTAACTCCCCTGGGTGCGGAGTGGCTCGCCTTAGAAGTGTTCTCTAAAAACAAACAGGTGGATACGTGTTTTAGTTTTATCCCATTACCCTCTCAAACATGCAGCTTTGAGACATTAGTATTCTATGACAAAGCTCCTCCTTGAAGAGTATGAATTAAAGTGGATAAGAAAAGTTTTCTTTGGAGCACAGTGTATTAATCAATTGCTTACTAGTAATTAATGGAAGATAAAAGTATTTCATTTAACTCAGCTAGTCAAGATGTGGTGCTGTAGGATAAAGGACTAGACTGCAAGGTTGGTTTGAACCATAACGTCGGCGGTTCAAACCCACCAGCCACTTCTTGGAAACCCCATACAGGGTTGCTATGAGTAGGAACCAACTCGACATTACTTAACAACATAATTCAAAATAGCGATATTACTTTTTAAATAAAAGCATGCTGTTGTTAAGTGATGTTGAGTGGGGTCCAACTTATAGTGACTACATAGTGTTTACAAGCAGCAGCTGGTGGGTTTGAACCATTGATCCTACACTTAGCAGGCTAGTTCTTAGAAAAGAGTGTTGTTGCTGTTAAGTGCCGTCAAGTCGGTTCTGACTCACAGCGGCTCTGTAGAGGGTTTCCGAGGATTTGGGGGTAGATAAAAAGAGCGCTAGTTCAAAAATAAGTGATTCCTGGGGACATAGTGAGTGGTTAAGCGCTCAGCTGTTCATCAAAATGTCAGCAGTTAGAACCCACCAGCTGTTCCATGGAAGAAAGATGTGGCACTCAGCTTCCGTAAAAACTGCTAAGTGCAATCAAGTCGGCTCCACTCACAGTGACCCTACATAGGGTTTCCGAGGAGCAGCTGGTGAATTTGAACAGCTGACCTCGCAGCCCAGAGCATTAATTAACCCATGGAATGGTTCCAGACTATAAACATGGGAACCCTATGGAGCAGGTCTACTCTGTCCTATAGGGCGCCTCTGATTCAATAGTAGGAGTCTGTGTGTGTTGGGGGGGGGAGGGGAGATGTGATCTTGGGTTTATTTTTGAAACAAGATACATGTAAGATAAAAATAAAGTACTATGAACCAAAAGCAAAAACAAATACGAAAAGATTTTCAAAACATAACTGTAGGATGTGGAGGAAGAAAAGGTGGAAGGATTTTTTAAAAATCCTAAATTCCTATCACTATAATGTTCTACTATAACTCAAAAGTAGTTCTGGTTTCCTTTAGCCCTGAAGCATGGGAGCTTTAGTAAAAGGGAAGCTGAGAGGGAAAGATTTCTTTTCTTATTTTGTGGCTATTTGGGCTATTTATGTGCCTACTGATGAAAGTGCACATTCTTCTAAAAAAGACTATAGTGCTGGAAATGAAGTGATAGGGTCTGGGCAATTACACAAAATCAGATTATTTATTTTACATTCTCTTTAGCTCATACAATAGTATTTTAATCTTTTAAATGTCCTGTCCAGAAGTTTCTGGAAGAGTTAAACTCAGGTAATACTAATGTGGCACTGAAGCAACTGGTGAAATCATCAGACTCTAACAAGGAACTTCTGGAGTAGCGCTGTAGACTCAGCACTGGACTGCGAACCCCAAGGTCGGCAGTTCAAACCCACCAGCTGCTCCTTGGAAACCCTATCAGGGTTGCTACGAGTTGGAACTGAATCGATGGCACTGAACAAGAAGCCACAAGGTAAGCAAGCATTAAAGAATCATTTACGTTGAAGTTATTTTGCCATTCCTAATTCGCATTTTGTACGAAAATCCTATTTGGTAACAGCCAGAATAGCCAAGGCCATCAGGAACAATGTAAAAGCTGCCCTTTGATTTGGGGGCTGTACATAATCCCTTTAAGCTCTGCTTATGAAGATAACCAATCACTGCAAGGAGTTTAGGAAACCAAAGTCAACTTGTAGAAAGATTTCTAAAGTTGTCACAGAGTCCTGTGACATGTCTTCCTTACCCCAATGTAAGACAAAGTTCAGCTGTTTGCAGTAGTGTATTCTACTGAAAGTAGCAGAGAGCCACGTTCAAGTGCAGATGACAGTAAGAGTCAGAAGTATTTTCAAATCTGTTCTTGATTTCTAAACAACTCCTAAAGTCACCTCATAGGATACGATCACAAGCAGTCTACATGAAGGTGCAGGTGACCTGATCTCACAAAGGGAAACTAAGTCATAGGTGAGGAAGTAGGACGGAGGAGAGTAAGAAGAGACTAACTTCACGGGGAACACGAAAAATAAACAGTTCTCAATGGATTTTAAAAAAACAGTGGAGGATGGAGAAGAGGGGCTATCATAGACAAAGAGGCTAACAGCACCAACAAAAACGTCATACATTAGTCAAACAAAAACCCTTATTAACAGTTTATGAACTCACACCCAAATGTACCTTGTTTTGTCTTCAAAATGAATCCTAAATGCTAAAGACAAAGTAGAAACTTCACTATTATTTTTTTTTTTTTGAAAAGTCCTTACTAAATACCATTCTCAATATTTGGAAAATTTATACATTTGAACCCTGGAGGCAAAGGGTTTCCACTTCCATACATACCGCTTGATTGTCGTCTTCATCTAGTTCGTCATCTAAAAATCGGATTGCACTGATTCTGTTTACTGCACTCTCATTCCAGGCTTCATCGGAGACATCATTCACCAAGTTCTCCAGAGCACCACAGCGAGGCAGATTCTCTATCGGGACAAAGGACATGTCAACAGGGAAATCTACTTCATGTGCCTGGCAATGGCTTCGTATCAATTTGGTGGCCAACTAGGCAGAATAATTAAGTCTCTACGTAGTGCCAGCCGTTAATGTGCTCTCTGCTGTTAATCAAAAAGTTGGAGGTTCAAGTCTACCTAGAGTCTTAGAAGGCAAGCCCAGTGAATTACTACAAAGAAATCTGCCATTGAAACTCCTAGAGAGCAGTTCTCCTCCGACACTCAGGAGCAACTGGTCTTATGCAGAATACATAAAGATTACCAGGGGCATAACCTCTGGAATACAGAGGGCAGACTGGCTTTGAAAGCAAACAATAAGATGACCTCTTAAGCATTAGTTAAGGGGTACTAAGTTCATGTTGAGCAGAAGAAAAAACATTTGGAAATGAAAATTGGTGATGGTTGTACAGTATGGTGAATGCAGTTAATGCCACTGAATTGTACACTTAGAAATAGTTAAAATGGCAACTATTAATAGTAATAATAATTTAAAAAAAGACCTTGGACAGGTTTCCCCTTCTCTTTAATGATGCAAAATTCTGAGATCATGTAAAATATCTGCCAAATTTGTATGTTTACTATTTCAGCACATACTATGTTAATCACTGACAGAATTCTTTTTCCTAATTTTCTGTTACACACTAACATTAAAAACTTTCTCATGACAGTGATGTGACAGCACGTGTTAAATAATGCTGTTGCTAGCTGCTGTCAAGTTGGTGCCTAACTCATGGTGACCCCAGGCATAGCTGACCAAAATGCTGCCTGATCCTACGCAACCCTGTGATCAGTTTCCTATGAAACCATTGAGGTCCACAGGGGCTTCATCTGGAACTTCTACTGAAATGTGTTCTGCATTAGGGCAACACACAGGCCACCCAACAACAGAGGGTGGTTTAACAGTTTATCAGGTGCACTGGCTAGGAATCTAGCCTGGGTCTTCTGCGAGGAAGATGAGAAATATACCCCCGAACCATCGCTGTGGCATGTGGTATACTAGTACTTTCTTTAGTAAATCCTTCTACCATATTTGTCTTTTAGGGTCTTAAAGCTCACCCAACAAAGCTAACATTGACAAATTGGGTTGGGGGCCCTCCTGATTCAGAGGCTCCTACTTTCTGAGAGCATTCCAGTTCTTTTCTATCAAACCAGGCTTTCAGCTAAGGAATTATTATATAATAGCATTTAGTTGCTAGTGTGAGCATTTCTTAAAATCACATATAATTTACAAAACAAAGAGGCAATAAACTCATAACAACTCAGTGGATTAAAAACAGTATGCCAGTAGTGGCAACTACTAATCCTCATATTGCAAGTGTGGATTTTAAGTGACTCTATTACCTTTCTTTCAAACTCACCATCTGCTCCTTGGAAACCCTATACAGTGTCGCTGTGGGTAGGAATCGACTTGACGGCACTTTAACAACAACAATTACCTTTCTTAGGAACATTTGCATTTTTACCCATAGCTAAAATGAAAAACTGAAAGGTTGTGTAAAGAATTCCAGACATGATAAAAGAGGTGGTATAAGATGCATTTTCTCTGCCAAGGATGCAAGGGAAACTTCCCCGAGAAGTCCCACAATGACCTCAGCTGGGCTGATTCTGGGAGCAGACTGAACAAAATACAATCTCATTCACGTGGGGAGTAAGAGGCTGTATGGACAGATGTCAATTCCTACTCATTCCTATGGCCCCAGGATGACTATCCTTAAATTAAACTCACCTTGGCAAGTAGGTTCAGAAGGCAGCTGAGGAAGTAAGACGCAGGTTAAAATCTTCTCCCCTGTGGTGTGGTCTGTGTCCGTCTGGAACGTGAGCAGAGGCTGGGACTGGTTGTCAGATAACCAAAGAGCCTTCAGCTTCAAGGTGGTCAGGGATAAAGGCAGATGCAACAACCTAATTTATAACAAAGGGAGATGGCACAACCTCAAATTGTGTGATTAAATCAACTCCTGTAAATAAAAATGGTTTCCTGGTTCAAAGTGCTCAAAAATGTTGTTTATACTTCTTACTGTCATTTGCTGCCCAGCCAGTCCCCATGCACAGTGGATCGGACCCTTATGATCCACAGGGTTTTCTTTGATGGATTTTAGAAAAACGATAGCCAGGATTTTCTTCCTGGTTTGTCTTAGTCTTGAAGCAGCTCCAAAACCCTTGGTTATAGATTCTGCTTCATCTAAGTAGATTACTTTCAGTATTACACTTTAAACTTTTATCTTTCCGTTTCTAGCAGCTCCCACCTGTCAAACTCCTACGTGACAATTATTATCCAAATCAGACTGTTTTCAGTTTCATATGAGCTAGTATCTATGAAAGCACTCTAAAAACTGTAATAAGACACCTAAAGATTAGTTTTATATTTATGCGTCACAAAAATCTGACAGCTTGGCTGCAACCTCTTAAATCTATCCATAAATGGGGAACTGAAAGGCTACCTGCCAGAAATCATCTGCATACTTGTTACTTGCTAAAATTTACTTTCAGTGTAGTGGTTTTCCAGAAGAGGCAATTAGGCCCCTAAGGGCCATTGGGCAATGTCTGGAGACGTTTTTGGTTGGCACAGGTGGGGTGGGGTAGGGAAGATGCTAGTGGTATTTAGTGGGTCCAAGGTCCAGGGTGCAGGGATGCTGCTAAGTATCCCACACTGAACAGGACAGGGCTCACACTCATGCACATAACACACACCAGAGAATCATCTGGCCCCAAATGCCAAGAGCAGCAAGAGTAAGAAAATCTGCTTTAGTGAAAACCAATGCCTCAACTTGTCTATCAATTCACTTTTTAAAAACAGCCAAGCCTCTGTGTTTCCCAGGAATTTAACATTACGTTCCATCAGGTATTTCCACTGAAAGGATGACTCCATTTATTAAATTATATATCAGCCTTAGAAGTGACTATAAAATAGGTAAATAGTAATATTCCATGACTTACTTTATTTACAAAAATGAGACATCTTTGTCTAAAAGAAATCTCTGGCTAATTAATTCTTTTTTTTTTTTTTAAATCATATGACAGCAAGTATTCCTTTCATGAAATTTTTGTTATTGTTAGGTGCCATCAAGTCGGTACTGACCCATAGCAACCTTATGCACAGCAGAACGAAACACTGCCCAATCCTGGGCCAACCTCACTACTGCTGCCACACTTGATTCCATCAATGCTGCCACTTGGCCAATCCATCTTGTTGGGGGTCTCTTTTTCTCTGACCCTCCACCTTATCAAACATGATTTCCTTCTCCAGTGACTGGTCCCTCCTGACAATATGCCCGAAGTATGAGAGATGAAATTTGGCCATCTTGGCCTCCAAGGAGCACTCTGGCTGCACTTCTTCCAAAACAGATCTATTGGTTCTTCTAGCAGCCCAGGGCACTTTCAATATTCTCCTCCAACACCATAACTCAAATGCATCAATTCTTCTACAGTCTTCCTTACCCACTGTCCAGCTTTTGCATGCATATGAGGTTATTGAAAATATCATGGCTTGGGTCAGGCGCACCTTAGTCCTCAAATTGACATCTTTACTTGTCAACACTTTTAAAAAGTCTTGTGCAGCAGATTTGCCTAATGCAATACGTCATTTGATTTCTTGACTGCTGCTTCCATGAGTGCTGATAGTTGGTCCAAGAAGAATGAAATCCTTGACAACTTCAATCTTTTCTCCAGTGATAAGAATGTTGTTTATTGGTCCAGTGGTGAGGATTTTTGTTTTCTTGACATTGAGATGTAAACCATACTGAAGGCTATGCTCTTTGATCTTCATCAGTAAATGTTTTAAGTCCTCTTCACTTTCAGCAAGCAAGGTTGTATCATCTGCATATCGCAGGTTGTTAATGAGTCTTCCTCCACTCCTGATGCCATGTTTTTCTTCATAGAACCCAGCTTCTAGGATTATTTGCTCAGATACAGGTTGAATAAGTATGGTGAAAGAATACAACCTTGTTGCACACCTGTCTTAATTTTAAAACATTCAGTGTTCCCAAGTTCTGTTCAAACAACTGCTTCTTGGTCCAGGTACACAGCTCTCATGATCACAATTAAGTGTTCCTGAGTACTCATATTTTGCAATGTTGTCCATAGGTTGTCATGATCCACACAATCAAAAGCCTTTGCGTAGTCAATAAAGTACAGGTAAACATTTCTGATACTCTCTGCTTTCAGCCAATATCCATCGGATATCAGCAATGATATCCCTCGTTCCACGGCCTCTTCTGAATATGGCTTGAACCTTTGGAAGTTCTCTGTCAATGTATGCTTTTAGTGGTTTCTGTGTTACCTTTAGCAAAATGTTACTCGCATGGGTTATCAAAGAGATTGTCTGATGATTTCCGCATTCCGTTGGGTCACCTCTCTTTGGAATCTTCGACCAGATAGTTGTCTTCCAAATTTCTTGGCAGAGATGAGTGAGTGCCTCTTGTGCTGCCTCACTTTCTTGAAAGATTTCAATTTTTATTCCATCAATTCCTGGTGCCTTGTTCTTTGCCACTTCTTTCAATGCACTTTGGACTTCCTCTTTCAGTATTTATGTATAAATGAGTATATACTCATTTTTAGTTAACCTATATGGGAAATCCACTTATACATCTTACCAACAGAGTAATATTGCATTTTCAGAAACATATACCACTCAATTGACAAATTACAGGAAATAATTTTTTCACTTCATTGAATTATTAATAGGAAAGTTTCTTGTGAACTTTTTTTTTAATCCTGTTTCTTTCAAAACAGGAGTTAAACTCACATTCTCTACAATGTTTAAAGTTTTAAGATCATGATCAAAAAAATTACAGTCAATGCCTCTACTTTCTTAACCACAAGAACATTAAGAGAAAAAGAAGAAATCACAATTTGAAAACTGGTATAAGTCACAGATACTAACAACATGGTCATCATAACTTCTCAGACTAATAACTGGCCTCTCAGCTGAATGTTAATGCACAGGCTTAAATGAAAAGTTAAAAAGAACATTAATAACAAGTAATAGCACCACAGGATGACAACTACATGGTAAAAGCTAAAATAAATTAGTGGACTCTACAGCAGCAGATCTTGTAATCATATTTAACTAAGCCATGTAAGATTAATGAGTTGTCTAATGCACCAGCTTTCCTGCAAAGAATCAAGATGCCAGGCTGACTCTGGCTGCAGCGAGCCGAGTTCACACCACACCTAGCTTGTTCACAAGTTATCTTGAGGACAGAAGTGATCCCAGAGGTGGTAAGGAGAAAAAGGGCTCTGCTCCTTGTACAGTCTTGCACACAGAAATTCTGCAAGCTTTGCCAGCCATCTCACTGGTTCACTGGGGTCTGGGGTGAAGGGATACACATACTCCTCTGTTACTCTTGGGTGAGCCATCTCAACTCCAAGTCAGGAAACAAATTAAAAAATATGTATCTCTATATTTTTCCCTTCCATTACCAGATGAGCTTATAATGTGTTTTTGGCTTATTCTGGTTCTTTCTGTACACTACAAAACAAAGAGGGTAAATACCAGAAGCCATAGGCCCATCATTACACATCTCTATGTTCCATTTCGGACCACATCGCCCCAGAAATAGAAAGCTGGTGGTTACGTTTTACTCCAATGGTACAAGGACTATAAAGCACATGAACTGGGTGTGGATTATCTTCGCAGCCTGAGGTAACCTCTTCCATCTCTGAACTAAAACAGCAACTGCTTTGTCAAATTTATTTAGCAACCAACCATGGCCTACTTCTTATTGTGATAGTATCTTACCCTATGACTGAATACGTCTTACAATTTAACTTTTCACCCGCTTCTGGTATCTCCTACCAGAATACTTTGTTTTAAGCAAAGTTTTAATACATGTTTAAAAATTCATAGTAAAAACATGATCAAGGAAAAAAAAATTAAACAATTCCAAAACAACTAAAGTGAAAACTGTCTTTTACCCCCAAGTCTCTACCCCTCCTAGGGATATTAGTTTTAGTATTTTGGTGTACTGCATAGTGTATTAAGGAAAAAATGAGAGTGATACATTATTGTTCAGAAGTTTACTATTTTCACTCAGCTTCACGCCCCCTTCCATGTCACTAGAGAAAAAAACCCCATTATTAGGCTGATCAATATCTTCCAGTATGGTTATACTGTTATATTTAATTATTTAAAAATTGGATACTTAAAAAATCAGATAATAAATATAAAGTACAGACATGGTCACCAACAGAGCACAAGGTACAAACAAGTCCTCCACTGATTGACATTGCATCTAATATTTGGTACTAACAACATTTCTCTGGTAGTGTAGTGTTTACGACTCGGGCTGCTAACCTCAAGTCAGCAGTTTGAAACTACCAGCCGCTCCGCGGGAGAAAGATGAGGCTTTCTGCTCCCGTAAAGATTTACAGCCTCGGAAACCCTGTGCAGGGTCGCTATGAGTCAGAACCGACTCGACGGCACATAACAACAACCAACAGTGCACTGAAGGCTATGCTAAGGATAGGTTAAGTGCTCAGTTATTAACTGAAAAGTTGGCAGCTCAAATCTATCCAGCAGCTCTGGGAACATCTGGTGATCTGCTTCCATAGAGGATAGCCAAGAAACCTGATGTGGCAGTGCTACTTTGTAACCACGTGAAGCAACTTGACAGTACCCAACAACAACACTGCAGTGAACTGAGCCCATGAGTTAAGTAGTTCTATGCCCATGGATAGCTGAGAATACAAAACACCTTCTTCCTTACTGATACTTAATGTCCAAGTGGCACTTTATACTTATCCTTGTTAGCAAAGATCTTACCACTTGTAAAGGAAAGCCTTCAGAAGCTAACAGGCACACACTCTCTGATGTCATGTGCTGTTTTTATATGCTTGAGAGAAGAGGCAGAAACTTCTATTCTGTTGGGTACTACCCTCTGTGGGACATTACTGTAAGCTAAAAGGCTGATGTGGTAATCTTTTTAAAAATCATTATAATTTAATTAGCTTCAATACTGATCGTTTAATAAGTAGTAATTAAATAGTTTAATAGGCTTAAAATTTGGTTATGAATCTATATTTACAAATACACACTTAACTGACTCAGATGACAACTATTTAACTACAGTTTTTTCATTGGGCTTTTCCTACCCCAGCCCAAGCGTAATAAAATTCTAACATTCCCTTCTTCTGAGAACTAGAGAATGTGATCTTACTCATGTGAAACAACAACAACAAAAAAACAGTTTTGAGATGTCAGAGTCATCTTCCTGCTCAAGAACTAGCATTACAAATTCATGCCCACACTGTACCAAGAACCAGGAATGTGTGGAGTCATTGTATTGGCTACAGCTGGAGGTGAGTGGTCTGGAAAGGGACACCCTTCTCAAGCTCTGTATCTTCTGAAATGTTTTTTGTTGTTAAGTGCCATCGAGCTGGTTCCAACCCGTAGCAACCCTATACAGGGTTTCCGAGGAGCGGCTGGTGACGGGGAGCCACCAACCTTGTGGTTCAAACTGACTTTGCAGTCCACAGCATTAAACCACCACACCACACCAGGACTGCCATGCTTAGTCCATCAGAAATTCAACATTCCAGTCAAATTAGTGCTCAGTTTCCAGCAGCCAGTTAGTGGTTAAGAATCTATCAAGGTCACCTGAAAGCATTAACTTCTAAAAGGTTAACTTCCCTGAAGCCCTAACTCATCTCTGGGCTCCAGTCGAGCACTGCTGTTTGCTTATTCTGTTGTCTAGAATGCATTAGCAAGAATGAAAAATGCTGGCCTGTGACTAGCTAAGCAGCACTTAGGAGACAGCCCTGAAAAAACTCTTCAGATTGCTGGCATTCATCATTTTCAGTCATGGATCATTTTTCCCTGGTTGATCACTCTTGTCTTCTCTAATCATATCACACTTGAAAGTGATTTTAAAAGTTCCTTTTGGTACTGAAGCCTGTAATACATTTCCCAGTGGTCACCTATTCGTTCTGTAAAAACTATCCACAATATACGCTTCAGTCAGTAAACACAAGTGGGCTTCAAAAATGTTTGCGGAAACATTAGAGTTAAAAGGCATTGGAACTTTTCCGTGAACTTCTTGAAGTTGTACCAGGTGTGTACTGTGTGCCAAGCACTGCACAAGGGACGAGTGATACACCGGCACATAAACCATGAGATCTAACTGTAGGTAACTCTAGGTGTAGGAGGAGTGATGCATGCAAACAGGCAACTGTCATTGCCTGTGAGCCCTACGGAAGGGCAAGTTCACCAAATGCACACTCAGAGACAAGGCTTGAGGAGAGGATAAAGCATGGAGATGAAGAAGAGAGAACAGAGAGAAGAGGGTCCCAGGTAGAGACAAGGGGAAAGAAAGAACATGACATCTGGGTGCTGAAATTAGCTCTGAGTCACTGAAACAAATCTGCATTCTACCACAGTGAGGAGAAGGCACACTCACTCCAGAAATTGGCAAACAGTCCAATAGCTCAAGGGGGGCTTCAAAAAATTCACGGAAAAATGCAACTAAAGCATAATGGAATTTTCCATTAACTTTTGAAGCCCCCTTTCCCCCATACTCGCAAGCCCAGAACTTGAGAAAAAGGTGCTGCTGTACCCTTGGAGTTATCATTTAGGTGGCTCTTAACTTATTATGAATCATCTGAAGATTCTGACAAAAGCTATGAATCCACAAGCCAGAAAAATACAATTTTGGTACAATTTCAGGGGGTTCAGAGTCACTAGCAGAGCCATCAGACCCCCAGTTAAAACCTAAGGTCCAAATAATTCAAGCTTCAAGCTTGTGTTGCAGATGAGGAAACTCTGAAACCAAGGATGATTTAAAGTGAGTTCTAAAAGCTGAGGTTAAGACCTAAATCTCTCCAAGTCTAAATGCTGTTTTCCTCAATGAACTGTCATTCTGGGAGGCATTCCCACAGAAGCATAGCTTAAACTTGAAAGGACTCCACGTTCAGGATTCCCTGGTCTGGATACCTGACTAATGGATAATAGATAAACATGGAGCAAAGGCAAGATAGCAAAGACACACAGCAGACATTGGTGTTAGCATATTTGTTTTCCAGTCTCAAGCAAAGCCTACCAAAAGTTACATACCTGTTCCCTGCCACGTCCAGGACATGAAGTTCTGTCGCCTGTGACATCTCAGCAGGTATCCGAGTTAACCTGTTGTCACGCACGCAGAACACAGTGAGGCCGCAGCATCCACCAATCTACAGTGAGAAACAAAATCATCTTTTTTCCTGGGCTTTTTTTTTGGGGGGTGGGGTGGGAGGGGAGGTGAGCGTGGCATGGGATTGAAGTAACTCGCTTATCAAAATGCACAAATCACAAAAGTCTGTGAATTAAACCGCATCATTTGAACTTGCACTGACGAGTGAGCATGATTCATGATTAACCCTGAATCATATGATACATGAGAAGTCTAGTATATTCAAAAAATATCTCTGTAAAACATTACACATATGCATACTAAATTAAGAAAGTAAGCAATACAGTTCAAATTTCATTCTGAAAAGGAAATAGTTTCCCACTGCTTGTATGGAGTGCAATGATGCCTGCTGAATATGGTGACGGAACTATACAGGTCTGGGTAAAGATTATTTGGTGATAAAGGAGAGTGTGACGGCTCAGTTTCAAAAGAGTCCGGCTCAAGATGACACTGATATAACACACATGGGCACACACACACCCTTTTGAAGACTGGCCCCCTAATTACAGTATCCTCAGAGTCTCGACATAAGTGTATTGTTTCTACCTTACATCTCTTAGTAGCTTCTCATCATTCAAAACTTAATTGGTAAAGTCGTTTTCCTTTGACAAATATATAACCATCTTAATTAGAAGTAGATTTGGTAGATACACTCATTCATCTCCTCAGGAGCTGTTGGTGAACGCATATGAATTAGTATCTACATCCATGCCAAATCTAATTACTTTTTCTTTTCTTTTTTAATGTGTGGAATTCAAGGATTTGTATGAGACTGAGCTTTGTATGAGACTGGTCTTCAAAAAAGAACATAGGCTAAAAAGAATTCAGTGATTCTCTTGCATAAATTGGCTGTGGTTATTACAGTCAGGAAAGCTGAGCCAAGGGGTGGAAAAACAACTCGATCCCAGACACAACATTCTGCAGGACTTCATAAAGTACTACATTCTTCTTGCACTCACTATCCTGACTAAGAGCAATCGCTCGAAAAGGCTCATGAAGGAACCTATTGATCTCTTTCTGACATATGGAAAAATACTCCACAGACCTTCCCACTCCAGGAAGCACAAGAGACTTGAATCTTCAATGATATCTGAATAGATCTTCTGACCTTTCCTAATTCGGATGTGTTTAAAATATAAATATCTTAAATTAAATTTAAAACACACACACAATTCCACTGGAACCAAATTGATTCTAACTCATAGCAACAGGGTACAGGGTTTCTGAAGCTGTAAATCTTTATTGGAGCAGAAAGTCTTTTCTTTCTCCCTCAGAGTGGCTGATGGGTTTGAACTGCCAACCCTCAGTTAGCAGTCCAGTGCTTATGCTAGAGGTAATCAGGGCTCCTTTAATGTATGTATAGACTATCTTAAAGAGTAGAATATATATTTGCAAAATTGCTTCATAATTGCTTTCAAACACAACCTTTTTATAGCTTCCCTTTAAGAACTAATGCAAAAGAGTTTGTTGTGGCGAGCCACTGAGTTGGTTCCAACTCACAGTGACCTTTTGTAGGATTTCTGAGACTGCTAGTGGGTTTGAACTCCTAACCTTGTGGTTACCAGTCCAGTGCTTATCTTACAGCACTACACCAGGGTTCATATTTAACCACAGTAAGTATTCAACCGTGATAAAGAAAATTAAATGTATTAGAGAAATTGATTAACAAGAGTCTTTGGTCACCTGGTGTCTTAACCTATGTTATGTGTAATGCTGCAATAAAAGAAATACCACACAAGTGGGTTCTTTAACAAGCAGACTTGTATTCTCTCACAGCTAGAAGCTAGAAGTCCAAAATTCAGGGCACCAACTCTTATCCGGAAGGCTTTCTCTGTTGGCTTGGCGTGAAGGGCTTTGCCCTTCTGTTTTCTGTTTCTGGACAATCTTCAGGTAAATTGACATCTCTTTCCTCTCTTGTTATGAAGTGCTACCGAGTCAGTTCCAACGCATAGCGACCCTGTTTCTGAAGGGTTGCCAAAGAAGGGCTGGTGAATTTGAACCACTGACTTTGCAGTTTAAATCCACTTTGCAGTCCAGTGCATTATCCCACAGTGCCACACCAGTACTCCTTTCCAAAGAGATTCACTCTAGATACACCCTACACTAATTGTATTCATTAGCGTAACAAAGGAAACCCAGCCCCCCAGTGGGATTAGAAACACAGGCATTGCTGTGGTTAAATCCATTCAGACTCACAGCATCCCTACAGGGTTTCTGAGGCTTTTATATTTTCTTGGTGGCAGAAATCCTCATCTTTCTTCCATAGAGCAACTGGCAGGCATAAAGGTTAGGATTTACAACATGTAATTTTGGGGAATACATTCAATCCATAACACCTGGGAAATACCAGATATGCAGGAATACTTTTAGATTGTCCACTGATTTCTTACTATTCACATTTCCCATCCAAGTAAAACTGGTTTATCCACTGTCCTTGAAATACAACTCATACTTTCAGTTCCACTGTTTTTTTATATAAGTCTTTCTTGTCTCTCTGCCCTGCTATATCTTACCAGTCACCCAAATTATTAGGAGGCTAACTGTTCTTTCAAACCCCAAACCCACTGCCATTGAGTTGATTCTGACCCTAGAACAGAGGAGAACTGACCCCATAGTGTTCCCAAGGCTATAAATCTTTTGAGCCAGAGTGCCTGGTAGTAGCTGAGCATTTAGCCACTGCACGGACAGGCACCTAAATACCTTTTGCTGTTTCAGAAAGTCTTCCCAGAACCCTCTGACTGCCCTGAGTTCTTGTCGTAATTTTGGTGTATGCGAACCTTCTGACAGCGCAAACCACACTGCAAACGTTAATTTGACTGAAACTGTTTTTTTACACACATACAAAGTAGAGATGTTTTGTTGTGAAGTGCCATTGTATTGGTTCTGACCCGCAGTGATCCTGGTGAGCTTGAACTGCCAGCTTTGCTGCGCAAACCAACTTTGCAGTCCAGCACATTAACCCACAGTGCCACACCAAGAGCTCTACAGAGATGTGTGGTGGTGGTGGTGGTGGTGGTATGCCATGGAGTTGGTTGTGATTAATAGTGACCTGTATAGGGTTTCCGAGGCTGTAGATCTTTACAGGAGCAGAAAGCCTCATCTTTCTCACACAGAACGACTGGTAGTTTTGAACTGCTGATCTTGAGGTTAGCAGACCGACTCGTAACCACTATGTTACCAGAGCTCCTTACAGAGATGTGTGTTGTTGTTGTTATGTGCTGTGGAGTCAGTTCTGACTCATAGCGACCCTGTACAGGGTTTCCGAGGCTGTAAATCTTTATGGGAACAGAAAGCTTCATCTTTGTCCCACAGAACAGCTGGTGGTTTCAAACAGCTGACCTTGTGGTTCGCAGCCCGATTCGTAATCACTACAGAGATGTGTAGGAGCTTTTTTGTGGCTTGACCTTTCTTCCCTTCCTTGAGTTAAGGGAATTGTCAATTTCATTCAGATGTCCAGGAATCGTGGAAGGAAAGGAGTTAAATTTTTGATCCTTTTGATGATCGAAATGATCAGATTCTCTCTGATATATTTAGATGATCTCAACAAAGGTCTACTCACAGGAAGGAACACCTAAGACCCCCAAGAGACACTCTTCCATGGCAAGGGGAGTCTGTGCTGTGGTCTGGGTTCAGTGCTGGGCAGTCTTAAGGCCAGCATGAGACTGACCCTCAAATTGACAGCCTAGTCTGGCTTTCAAAAGACAGGATTTATCTATACTTCAATGAAGCAAGCATATCAGTTGTGGTCCTTCTGACCAGATAACCAGCTTCTGCAGGGTAGAGACAGCCAAATCTAGGCTGCGTTATCATGCATTGCAGCTGTAAGCATCTCCATGAGTTGTCCACTGCCCCAGCCAGCTGTGGGCTAATCTGTCCTGGGGTCCTAGTGTTATATCACATGAGCATTTTTCATTGATAACATGAGTACATATTCTCTATTTAAAAATCAATTAACCAATTAAAATGGATTGCAGAGGACTCTGAAAATTGCAGGGGCAATAAAAGTTCTGGATAAGTTAACATCCTTTCAGTGTTTTGGAAGAAAGTGTGAACTTCCAGTGTTTAAAGTCTCATTTACATTTTCCTTTCCCACTCTAACAGCATAGCAATTTGAGACTCTCAGGGGCGGGAAGCATTTGTTTTCAAGAGCCTTCTAGGCCCTCTGAGTTCTCAGTGCAGGCAGTGTGACCTCCTGATCTCTATTGTCTACAGTTTTTTTTTAAAACAATGCCAACAAAGAGCACATGTTCCTGCAGCTAGGGATGCCTGAATCAGCCTTCACAGGCACATGCTGTCCCGGGTAAACATTCTCACAAACAGAGCGCTCTTTCCACATCAACAGGAATGGGTGGCAGGTATTTAGAAAAGATGTTTAAGCATGCAAAATTGTAATGCAAAAGGTATAGCTTTTTATATGCTTCTGAGGAGAATGCAGTGCAACATAGCCAGTGGTGCTTTGCGATTATACAAAGCCAGGTTAGATTATAAACTCTGACATATGTTTCATGGATGTGAATATGTGACTTTAACTAGAAGTGAAAATAAGTATTAAATTAAATGAAACTACATATATAATTTACTGCCTATCATAGAACCTGGCATGCAGCTGTTGCCAAATGAATGTAGTAATTTGTTTTGTTTGTTTGGGGGGCGGGGGGCTTTGTTTTGTTTTTAAGAAGTGAAACCATCAGGTCCAAATGGCTAGGTTCAACCAACACTTGGATGCCTAACATGTTTTGCTGTGCTCTTTCCTGAACTCACCTGAATTTCTTAGAAAACTGTTCCCCTGACAATGTGTCACAGTGACCATTTGATGTATAGTGAAGAACTGGAGGCAACCATGGTTCTGTTGTAGTATATTTGCCTTCCATGTTGGAGACCTAGGTTCGATTCTGGGCTAATGGACCCCAAGCACAACCACTAGTACAGCCTGTCAGGGGAGGTTTGCATAAAAGCTTCAGCGGAGCTTCCAGACTAAGACAGATGAGAACGAATGGCCTG